ATTTAACCTCTGCTTCTTATGCTTTCTTTATCTCGGACACCACGAGTGCTACAAGCAAAAGAATATATAATAGAAAATGGAAAATAGACAATTAACCGAAGATAAGTCTATGTCCGCAACTGAGACAGACCCGGCCCGAGGAAACAGAGTGTAGTAGACATCGGCTCACCCTCCTCTTTCTGGCAGATACGTTGAAGGGTCGTTGCGAAGCCACTCTTCTTGAGCACTGCTGGACTTCTCGCTCTCACTGACATCCATGTTGGTGATTCAGGTGAGAATGAGCGGAAAGTTCGTCAACTGTCCGTGATGATGTCCAGTAGACTAACTGACAAATTCCAGCTCAAAAACCTTGAAATAATCTTCCCGAAAACTCTTGCGTTCTTTCCTATATGATATGTCAGTTGTGATCACTAGAGACAACATACAAAGTTTCACGCACGAAGATTCAGTTTCCGAAGAGAAACAAACTTACGAAAACCACACTCTATGGACGGTCGAAGGTAGGTCGGGCGGAGACAAAGCGCGCATGGAAAGAAGTGCGCCTTGGGCGGCCAGCATCAAAAGAATCTAATGAAGCGTTCGATTTTGGAGAATAGAGACAAAACGATCGATAGAATAGGATGCAGTAGAAGTGTGAGATGTTAGTGCAATAAGTCAAAAGGTCAGAAAGAGTTTCTAGTGAAGCACTCAATGAAGTGGAAGCGTTCCCGCCGCCAGCATTTGTGACAGATGTCCGGCGGGAATTTTGAAAGTGAATTTTGATTTGGAAAGAAATTAATAGGAGTTAACATCGTTAATGGTGAGCACATCTGCAAACTTCAAACTTTGCTGACTTTTTCCCTGTATACTTAATGAGAAGATTGGATTTCTAAGTGGTTTCGCCATGAGAAAGTAAGTGGAATAGGGAACCGTAAGCAATTTTGACTTCAAACTCACAAACCAATGTCAGGGCTTCCGAAATAACATTCGTGATAGCACAAATCAACACTGAACATGTTTGTTCACGAAGATACGGGATACTTCCGGTTGGATACGTATTGATTGGTTTGACCAGGGACTTCTGTAGAGTTGAACCAAGCAAGAAAAATCGGCACTATTCAACCCCAAAATCTCAAAATTTTATTTTTCGTCGAAACTTTGCCTATAGGGGTAATTCGGTGCCCTGATTACGAAAATGACATTCATTTTTGGCGGTGGCGCCATCTGGCGCCAGTTGGCGCCACCTTGTCACGACACATGTTTTCACCAAATTCGGTGTAAAGTTCTGTATAGGGGTTATTTGATGTCCTGATTACGAATATGACATTCGTTTTTGACATTACCGCTGTTTACCGCATACTTCCCGCTTTTCTGGGCTCTCTCAGCTACACAGCTCTCTCAGCTTGGGACTAACAATAAGCTTAGGAGATCAGCACGGCGTCGACAAGAGTTGGGGCGCGTGAGATCACGGGGGGGGGGGGGCTCACCCACTCGTAGCCCTCCTTTCCCCTGAAGCTTGGTCCTGATCGCGATCTAATCACTAGGAGGGCGCAGACGAAGAGATTATAAGCGCTAAATGGAGCTAGCGCCAAGAATGAATGTCATATTCGTAATCTGGACACCAAATTACCCCTACCCAGAAGTTTACATCGAGTTTGGTGAAAACAACTGTCGTGACAAGGTGACGTACCTGGCGCCAGATGGCGCACCGTTGAAAATGAATGCTATTTTTGTAATCAAGGCACCGAATTACCCAAACCCTCGCCTTCAAATAGCCGAGATTGTGCAATTGCAGAAATTGACGTGGCATTAACGTGGCATCGATTCAAGAACATCTTTGAGCACACGTGATGTCATTCTCGTGTGCTCGCAAGATGTTCTTGAATCGATGCCACGTTAATGCCACGTCAATTTCTGCAGTTGCACAATTTCTGGTTATTTGAAGGAGAGGGTATGTGCAAATTTCTACGAAAAATAAAATTTTGAGATTTTGAGGTTGTAATAGTTTAATAGTGCCGAAAAACCATGAAACAACTGCCATTTGAGGATATTCGACGACAACGATAGAGCTGTCGCTACCGCAAAGCGTCGTAACAAATCTTAGCAGCAGTCACCACAGATGCTCGGGCATCATTTCAGATACAGTAGCGGTCAAAAGTGTTCGCCGAAACGGTTTTTCGTGCTTCTCTTTTTTTGCCAGAAAAAATCAATGGTGGCCTCGAAATTTTTTCTTTTGAATATCCTGATTCTTTAAGACTTGAGGATATAAAAACACTAGAAAACATAGTATATCAATCTTTGGAGGGCGTTGCTCAAGCGAGAAAAATAATGCACTAAAAATCGTTTCGGCGAACACTTTTGACCGCTACTGTATGTACAGTTTGAAAACGTCGTAGTTAAGCGCCTTAGGAAGCCAGAACACCATCTCTCAAGGTGCTGGTATAGCGTGGGAAGTGAATCCAACCCAACAGTGCGCGGTACACTACGCTGAGCCCTTTCATCGAGACGTCGACCTTGCACATCCCAACTTCCCACACACATTAAAGGCACACTCAGGGATCAGGCAAACTCACCTGTTCATCCCCAGATAGACAGATGGACAAGCGTTGATGTCGCGCCTCTTTTGCGGCTTGGAAAGTGCGCGACAAAGGCGCTGGAAGCTCGCTCGACCCGCAATCCACACCTTCGTCCGCAAGCCCCGCCTTCCGCTGTCGGTTGCCACGTGGCGCTGCTTGAAAAGCGCGGGCGCATTGCGGCAGCGGTCCCATTGCGGTTCAATGTCATTGGCACTGGAGCAACTGGAGCTAGGTTCGTGAAACTCGTCCAACACGCCCCTTCTCTATCCCAAGGTGGAATGTGGCTGAAATAGAGGGTCCTTATTCGGGGCATATCGGGCGTTTCTCTTGCTTTCTTTCTTTTGCAGACTACTCTTCACCTCCAGCTTCATCAGCGAATGCTCTTGCGCTCCCATTTTATCCCCGAGGCTTGCCTTCAATTAGAGGTGGACATGGCGCTGGAATGCGGAAAAACCTTGAGAAATGGCCCAGAAGTCAAGATGAGGTCCCTTCTCCGCCTGTTGTTTTGAGCCGTTGATGCGACTTTCATCGGTGATACCCTCTTCAACGCCCACGTTCTCTCGTCGAGACCCCGGCGAGTGGTTGGCGGGTCGATGGGCGTGCCGCGTCGATAGCGGCGGGGGCGCCCACCTTCACCTTAGCTCTCGATGCCGATCGCTGGGGCCACATCCTTCGCTGCGCTGTGTGTCGGCCCGCAGCCTCAGGGGACCGCCTGTCTCTTCGCTAGGTAGGTTTCTCTTTTTCGACCTCATCGTAGAATCCCCTTTTCATGAATTGCCAAACCCCTTTTTCTCTGATTCGACCATACTGCGCCTTTCTAACGATCACCGAGTGTGGTGCAAGTGAAAGAGAGCCAGTGGGCGGCACGCCGTCTGCCTTCTGCACCTTCTCAGCAAGCGAGGTTGTGAGCCTGGAAAATGTAGGCGTTCCAGGCAGCTTCTCTATTTGCGCCGGTGTGGAGTGCAATCTCAAGATTGAATAAGTTTTGAATCGCTTATTCTTCACAAAAGCGCACACCCCTTTCTCAGTCGTGATAGTCGCGTGTCTGGGCCAGCGAGCAACCGGAATCGATACGTACCCTTTAAAAAAACGAGAAGAGCGTCGGGTGCAGACCATACACCACAAGTGTCGACGGCCTCCAAGTAAATCTGGGGCGGTACTCAATCCTTCCCGAGGGGGATATATCCCCCTC